GGATTTAAAATAGTAACTTTTTTACAAAAAATAACTTTTTCAACTTAATTTTTGAAAATGTTCCGGAAATACTGCGTCCTTTAAACATATATAAAATTAAAGCTTATTTTATGTACTACAAAATGAAAAAAAAAATTTGTCCCGACGACCTATCTTCTATACGCAAATGACTGCCGTATTCAAAAATATGCTATTTTTGTATTAAAATTATGGGTTTTGTATTTTATTTTAATAGAAGTTGATGTTGATTTTGCAATTATCCATCAATTTTTTAAAATTAAACACTATCTACAGATTTGCATCGAAGCGTTTCTTATGATAGTGATTTTAATCACTTTCAGATTAAAACTATACTGGATCCAACTATGCAATGTCTCCACTATGCCGTGACCCCACTGTGCTACCGTTTTTTACATTTTATTTAAAATTTAAAAATAAATAATATTTTTAATAAAATGTAAAAAATTAATTATTGAGATATAGCTATGGACCTAACGTATAACTATTATTTAAAAAAAAAATCAGCTAAAAAGATTAACTGGATCAAAAGTTATTTAAGTTGTCAGTGAGTGGTGGGCCATCCTGTATTTGTGATAACATCATAACATATTCGGACTTTTTACACAAAACAACTATATACTTTTTCATTTTTATTATATGTTTATAATCATTTATTTAATTAGTAACTATTTAGGCCGACCCCAAGTAGCTGGGATTAAGGTGAGGAAAAAGAATCATTTTGTCACCAAAACCGTACTTGGGTTTCAGGAACCCTAGGCAGTTACCAAATCAGTATCCCTTTTCAGTAAAATAATTATCAAAACATAGAGTACTGAAAGTTATATGGGAGCTTCACAAATCTACTTTCTCTACATATAATTTCTGATCCAGGACAGGGTGATCCCCACTTGAATATCCCTCTGATCTTCTTTGGTATTTTAATAAGTAAAAAAAATGTTCATGTATTTAATGGAATAGATAAATCACTACCTGACGTGATTAGATACTCCTTCAAGGTAGCTGTCTTGTCTACTTAGACTGTAATATGACGTTATTTTTCATAATGAAGATAATATAATATGAAACTAGTAATTTTAAGTTAAATAAATTTTAAAGCATTAATAAACGAACCCAGAAAGGAATCCACAGACTATCAGAGAGAGCGATCAATACCCAGAGTCTTAGACGATCAGAAAAACTACAACCAACAAAGACAATGAGGACATGGCTAATCCTGCGCCGAAGCACCAAAGCCAAAAACAAATATATTATGAATATGAAAAGAACAGAAAATGTTGATTTTACCACCCCAGGGACTTTAGAACCCCGGAAGTCGTCAGTGGGATGGATCAGGCTTTACTACTGGACCTAACGTAGCAGACACGCCACAATTGTCATCGAGCAACCGAGATGCGAAGGGTAAGCTCCCCAACCAAGATGTTGAAACGAAATACAACAAAGCAGTATTTAACTTAGTTAACAATTTTGGAAAGCAACTAAAAAAACGTGAAGTTGAAATTAAATATTTGTACGCTAAGTTTGTATTACTTAAAAACGTCCTCAAGAAAGCTAAAGGGACGATATCGCCGAGTAAATCAATAGAGCTATTAAAAGCTTCTAAAAAAATTAAGCCACAAAAAAATTTATTTATTTTTCTTTTTAAATTAACTAATGATACATATAATACATATTATGAGTTGAACAATATGCTAATCAGTTGGCCACAAAGAGGACATCCAGCGAAGAACAGTGCCCAGATGCAATGGAACAGAGGTCAAGACTCATACTATAGCAAAAGATGAAAATCGTAGAACACCATCAACTTTTAAAGAGCAAGTTGATAGAGCAACAAAGATGGAGTGAAGAACTACAATAGTAATTGAAGGACAAGCTAGATGAACAACATAAAAGACTCGAAGAACAGTTCTAATAATAACAGTATTTGAAGAGCAATTTCAAAATCGTCGAACCCACGAATCATCACATGCGGACGCGAACGCGGAAACCCAGGCAAGGCGAAATTCATGGCCATCAGACGTAGAGCGTAAGAGCCTGCACCGGAGCGGTCATAGGCCACTACACAAGGAAAAAGAATCCCAGGGAAACTCCCCCGGAGATAGGGTAAGAATAGTTCATTATAATGAATAATTCATTGAAAAAAATACCTGTAGGATTGGAGCTACTTCATAGTAAGAAACATCTTTTTTATGACTGTAAGGATCACATCTCCAATAAATATTGTTTGAAGAAGACAACATACTTTTTAAAGATAATATTTGCATATTTATTTTATTTTCAAATTGATCCTTCTGTTTTTTGTATTCGTTCTGAAAATTTCCTAATTTAAAAAATGTTGCTTTAGTAAGACTAAAAATATTTTTTAGTATTAATTATAGTAATTTGATTTAAGTTTTTAAATGTTTTTTGCAGGATGTCTCAATAAATAACGCTTTTATCTCTCGCTTAAACCACAACAACATAGACGCAATTTCAATTAAATTTTTGAAGAGTCTTATTACATTTAACTTCCTCCTCTCTAAAACTTCTTTTATATAATTATATATGTAGTTTTTCTAAAATTTTGAAGTGGTCAATTTTAAATCTCAAGGGGCTAATACTCTTCAAACTCCCTCATTGCACCCATACATAAAAAAAATAATTGTTTGATAATTTAAAAAATATATGCGGAAAACATTTCGATTCTAATGATTCCTCAAAATGGTATATTTGAACGAACGTTTTTTTCAAATTCAATGTAATTAAATATTAAATTCTATAAGATATTTAACCAACTAAAGATTTAAAATTGCTATCAATAGTAATAAAAATCTAAAAGCTTTAAATACAGAGTGATTTTTTTATCATAACCCACTCAATTACTTACAGAATAATAATAATTAAAAAATTTTTTTTTATTATTATCTTTAGTTACACATTATTCTTGAATTATTAACTATGTAATACTTTTTAAGTTCATCCCTTATGCCTGGTAAGGGTGTCAACTTTGTTTTTTTAAATGGTAACACATATTTTTAATTTAATAAAATGTTTGAGTTTTTAATTCAATAATAAATGGCATTTGAATTTTTAATAAAACTTAATTTGTTTATTAGATATAAACATTTAAAGTTTCAAATTTTTGAGTTAATATATAGGTATAATACACAAGGGATTACAAATACAGGTAGCTAATTGATTTTTTATGACATCGATATTAGCAGGTACACAGCATTGTTATTATCAATGATAGTAAAGTACATTGTTGTGAGTTTATAAATACACTAACTGACAATACAAAAAGTATATCTATTAATAGTCATAATTGATAATAAACAATCCGTGACTGTGATAGCAATATCATAAAAAACCAATTAGCTACCTGTATTTATAATCCCTTGTGTATTATACCTATATATTAACTCAAAATTTTGAAACTTTAAATGTTTATATCTAATAAACAAATTAAGTTTTATTAAAAATTCAAATGTCATTTATTATTGAATTAAAAACTCAAACATTTTATTAAATTAAATATATGTGTTACCATTTAAAAAAACAAAGTTGACACTTTTACCAGGCATAAGGGATGACCTTAAAAAGTATTACATAGTTAATAATTCAAGAATAATGTGTAACTAAAGATAATAATAAAAAAAAATGTTTAAATTATTATTATTTTGTAAGTAATTGAGTGAGTTATGATAAAAAAATCACTCTGTATAATTAGTATTTCAAAATTTATTGTTATATTTTTACTAAAATATCAAATAAAATCATTTTGGGCTTAACTTTATTATAAAAAAGATTTATCTTCTACTTTATGCGAATTGTGTATGTATATTCAGGACCTTAAACTCTAAATTTCTTATTTTTTTTTCAATAGAGGAGGTGATGTTTTAAAAAAATGTTTAGACTTACTGTTCATAACAAAAATTTAATGAGTAAAAAAAAACTAGGAACAAATTTTGAGTATTGTTTTAATCTAAGAAGCTGTAGGGAAATTATTCATTGATATATGTCCCCTAAAATATAATTATAAGTACCCTTCTTCTTAACTATTTATCTTTAATCTAGGTATATTGTAAAATAAATAATCAATTATAGAAATTTTACCTAGGCCATTGGTTTGTAATATTAACCTTGAAAATTCCACAATTGAAAATCCTTTCAATTGTGTCAGATATAACACTTTATAAACGTTGTATATGAGTTGATGTAGCGATTGCTTGACATAACATAACATCTCACCATTTTCCTAATTAGAAAAATAATATAACACTTTTAACTATTTCTTTCCTTTTAGTAATTAGCTAAAAAATAGTTTTATTTTTAAAATATACTACACTAACGGTTAAATCTTTGATCATTTTAAATATCCCATAATCATCCGCCTTTGAATCATACCTATCTCGCTCTAGAACGAGAGATCTATGGATTTTTAAAATTTCCTTAGAAGGGGATTTTATTGAAGAATACAACATTGCTTCAGCAAATTTTTGTAATGAATATACTTCATACGATGAATTCTCGTCTAAATTACTCATGTCTTGTGTGCCACTTAATATGTACTCTAAAAATATTAACAAACGTAACTGTTAAGTCACAACAATATGACAAAAAAATTGCCATTCCTTTATTTCATAATTTTAAAATTATTCCTTTATTTATAAATTTAAATTAATATTTTATGAAACTTTACGATATAAGGAAATTTATTTATTAGATAATACTAAACAACTTATTTGTAAGTTTTTTGGCAATCTAAAAAGATAACCTGAATAGTGTTTATTGGATAGTTATTTATTTTATTTAATATTGAAATACAGCTATGTAAGGTGTTACAGAGGGACGGTTGGGTACGTCGATAACGCGGCAGTGTTTGACATGCACTGCCTCGGGTTCGAAACTAGATCACGGAGGCTTCATTTACCAAACGAAAGATCAGTTCGGTAATTGGAGTCGCCACCCCTCCCGGTGTATCAATGGTTAAGAATCCTCCTCCTTTGGGTGGCCCATACGGCCCTTAATGGATTGACAATCAATAAAAAAAAAAGGTTTTATACGGTAAAACATCAGGTATACAGAGTGAAACGTTTTTTAAAACTAGAGGTCGAAATTATATGCATCTATAGATTTTGTTAGAACAATTTTGAAGGATCACAAGTTTGTGCAACTTTGTCGTAAGATTATATAGTAGCGTAGAAATATTATTCGTTTTAAGAGAAATTAACCCTCCAAATGATCCCAAAATCTATAACCTCGGTAAAAACACATAACTCATTTTACAAGTCAATTAATAAATAAGTTTACTGGCTGATGGTCTGTTTGGAATAACTAAAGAAAATTTATAAATGTATATAATTCCTACGGGCCCTAATCATAATGTAATTAATAATTACAAAATAAAAATAACTTCGGGAATATTTTTTTAGTTAAATATATTTCTTGAATAATTAAATATTTTTTCGGTTTATCCCTTATATCTTATAAGGATGTTCACTTTTTCTTTAATGGCAACATACGTGTATATTTTACTAGCTTATAAAATGAAAAATGGCTTGACAATAAGAACATTTGACTCATTATTTCCGAAGTTATAAGCATTTTAAAATATAGACTGTAGGTAACGCACGGATATAACTATTAGTATCATTTGACATTTCTAGTCTGCACATCTCCCGTTTAGGAATAAAAATCTTGGTAACTTCTCATTTTCCCCCTATTAATGCTTAAGATTAATATTTTCAAAAAAAAATTATGCTTACACATACCACCCATTGTAATAAAGTCATCCTCGATAGATTTTATAGATTCGATTAGTTCATTAATTTTTATTCCACTTAATATAACATTAGTTGTGCTATGTATTTCTTTGATACCGTCTAACATCGCATTCAAAATATCATCTAGGTTTTCCTGAAAAGAATGTACGAGTTTTTGAACGACATCAAACTTATACAGAATCAATTGTTCCATATCCTTTTTAGAAACTATAGTAGCGTTTCCACCTTCGACGAAATTTGCTGGATTTAGAGATACTTCCCATGTTTCATTGATTTGTTCAATTATTTTATTAGTCAGAAAAAATGCATCCTCAGTAGTATTTACAAAAGTTCCTTTAGACCAAGAAACGCTCGCTAAAACGACACAGATTAGTACGATTAATTTAAAAAACATCATCACTGCACTATAAATAGATAAAACAAAAACTTCAGACAATATTAATATTATGAGCGTTTCACAATCAATCAATATATGTTATGAGTTATTATTTCTATTCCGTCTATTACGTGAATATAGTACAAAAATTATCTTATCCATTAAATGCGTATTAATATTAATTCCATCACAAATATATCTTTACAAAGGTCATTTAAAAAAACACTGTACGAACAAACAAAACAACAATATGACCGAGAGAATGCGCTTTTAGACTTTTTACAACCGAACTCTTCAATCACTCAAAGTCCATAATTACAGATGACATGCGCGTACCTGTACGACCGCCTAATATTAAACCGGGTTCCCACGACTGGTGTACCTGTCAAATACACCAATAATTGCATACTTGCCGAATCGTCTAATTATCAATTGGACATTCCCATGACTGGTGTACTTGACAATTATGCTAGTACTTCTACACTCTTACAAGTAATAAATAAAAGCCAAGTGTACTATTCCTACGACTGGATCAAATATCCAGTACTTGACAAATACACAAGTGTGCACCAGTGAACTACTACTGAAAACTTATCAAGTCATTAATTCCTTTGAATTGTGTCACATTTACCGACAATCCGCGGGAAACTGACAAGTGACCAATAATTGTACAAGTATAGTGTTCCGACGGCTTAACAAGTATACACGAGTGACGAATATTTGGCAAGTCCACCAGTCGTGGATACCCGACTGGAGTCTATCTACTACTGACTGTAATGCCGCGCGGTACTTATTATTTTTATTGATTAAGGTGATAAGCGCACATTATATAAAACCCAATGAATGTGTAATTATAATAAAATAAAGGTTATTTTATATTTTTTCGAATGCCACCGCTTATTAAACGTTTAAGTGTTACGAGTATCATATTTGTAATTAATAATTTATTTACAACAAAAGTATAATTAGTTATTAAAATTAAAAAAAAAATGTTTTAATTTTTTATGCATTGCTGCTTCCACGACACAATCGCCTTTAATTTTTAGTAATCTGTTAGTTTTTTGTGAGAGCGATTTTGCCCAGCAAATAGTTGGTATGGAAGAAAATAAGAGAAGAAAAAAACAATTAATCAAACAAAATTTAAATTATTTTCATTTTTTTTTTTTGTAATTTTAATATATTTTTGAAAACATCATATATGCAAAAAATGGAAATAAAAAAAAAACCCAGCACAGGGGGGTCGCGGCACAGTGGTGACGTGGCATAGTTGGATCAAGTATAATGATATCTGACAGTGATTAAAATCACTATCAAAAAAAAACACTTCGATGCAAATCTTTAGATAGTGTTTAATTTTAAAAAATTGGTGGATTATTCCAAAAGCTTCATAAACTGCTAGTTCCTTATTAATATCCTGATTAAGACAAAGTATGTCGAATAAAAAAGAGATTATTAGAAAATAGTATTTCCCATAAAAAAATTATATTGATCAATACACTTTTCAATAAGTTATAGCATTATAATGTTAAAAATGTAAAAAATAAAATTGAGAATTTTCACACAATAATAGCATTTGGTAGCCATTTTCA